AATAAAAACAATCTTCACCTAGACACTTCATAATGACATTTTAGATCACTGGTGAGAAGAGAGAGACAGAGATCCTATAACAACAGAAAGAAAAAAAGAAAAGGAGAGAGAAGGAAAGAAGGAAGGGAAGGAAGAAAGCAAGCAAGAAGCAAGCAGGCAAGCATGCCGTAACCCCATGTATGGTCCAAGTGCAGCCCCAGGAAAAAATCATGAGCAAAAATCATAAACTAAAGCAAAAATAGTGCTGGAGGTATGGTTCAAGTGGTAGAGAGCTTGCCTAGTATGCTCAAGACACTTCTATTTCTAGAAGTGTGGAAACTCTTTTCAAAATTCAGAGTGAACATGATTTCCAACCCAGACTTCTTCCCAGAAAAGCTATCAATTATATACTGGTACCTATGCTGTACCAAAGCGAGGGAGTAAATCACTGATGGTGGCAGATAGGATGTGGGAAAAAAGGGATTAAACAAGTGATAGGCAGAAAGGAAACTAGGGTAGTGAAAAGAAAGAATTACAGCTACACAAAGTAAACATGCAAAGAAATATCATCGAAGTACAGTACCTGGCTCAGTCAGGAATAATGCTTATACGGTCTCAATAATGTAATAATGTAAACCCAGATACCTATTTGAGAGACAGACGATTATCATAGTGAAGGGATGATTAGGGTAGAATGGGTTTTATTTAGGGGAAGGGATGATATCCAAGGACTCTTGTCAAGTTCATCACTGCAATCTAAGCACCAGGAGGGCAGGGGTTTTATTCACTGTGAATTCCTAGTGCCTAGAACAAAGGTCTGGCACACAGCAGGTCCTCAGTGAGTATGCATTGGTTGGATAAATGAGACTTTCTCATATGGAATATTTCTTCTAAGAAATTTGTTAAGAAACAGTTAAAATAAAACCACTATAATACATAGAACTTTTTCTAACTAAAATTTAAGACTGCCATTTTCACAATTTAAAAGTAATATACAATATTTAGGCTGTGCATCACAATATTTAAGAAGTGATTTAAAAGCCAAAGTTATTCCTAAGAAACTATTCTATGTAAATCTTTATGCTGGTTAGGTTGATTGGGGATGCCTTGAAGGGCAGAACAGTTCCAGGGAAATCAAGATGCAATTTTCTCAATTTGAAAGCAAATAAGTTGAGTTTAGTGACTTCTTCTCATTCACTCAGTAATATAATACAAAGATTTGCTTTTCAAGTTGGTTGACTTCTGAAGAGAAACCTTCAGGACATCCTCTTGTGCTAGATTCCAGAGAGTGTTCCCCAGGACATGGATACTTTTTATTAAATAAAAGAGATGTGTCTTTGGATCAGCGATATGCTCTTTCACCTAATGGATAAAAATTGGGCTGCATCGACTTCAGCAAGGTTGTGAATTTACCATCTGGTTCTTAAGCTAATGAATCCATTGAACTGCTCATTCATTCATCACCTTATCCTTTCTGCCCCTACTGAGCATTTGCTGTGCACCCACTAGGTGCCATGGACTGTGGAAAAATATTTGTGGAGGAAGAAAAACTAGATCAAATAACTCAGGATCCTCAGAGCTCATCAGGGCACTGGAGAAGAAAACCAACTCACCCAACCAGGTGTACTTGTCAGAGCACAGCTTTCATGGAAACTTCCACTTATTCTGCCTTCTTTAGAAGCTCTGTGCTGGGTTGTGGGCCACCTAGCTTGTCTTTGGAGCATGGTGTACAGCTAGGGATCGTATCCTGTTTGGTGCTAGTAAGGCCATCTGTCCCAACATTTCATAATAGTTCTAGTATTGGAGACCTGGTCTTTGAAGATGGTACCGGCTTCCAGTTTCCAAGGTTCAAAGTTCCTCAGAATTAGTATTTTGGGGCTTCTCAGGAGACCAAACGTCAATCATGACTCTTCCTGCCTGCTCTTCCTGTGTGCTTTCTGAGCAGCCACTGATGACTCAGGGGAGGCTGGAGAGCTCAGGCCTTCAGGTGTGGGACTTTAAGTATTCCACTCTCTCCTTGCCATGCTGGCTCAGAGCCCCATGGAGAGTGGTGCTGCTTGGAGCCGCTGGACTACCAGCTCTGCCAGACCTTAAAGACAGTGGTGGTGGCCTGGGGAGAGGCTGGAAGGGGACTGAGGCAGATAGAGTCTCCCAACTTCGCCTTTTTGTTTGGCAGCCTTTCTTGGAAACAGAATCCTGAAGAGAGGCACAGATATCTCCCCTATTATTTACAGGGCTTTAGTAAGAAGACCCCCAAATAAAGGCTACCTTGCTGACCCTCACTGCATCCGAAAGCGAATCCAACAATCTGGATGCAAAAGGACCTTCCTATTTCACAGGAGAAACCCTCAGAGAGCAGCGGGTGTCGGGTGTGAGATTACAAAGGCTTTGGGAGTTACTGGAGTCGATTTTTAGGGATGGTGGGTGTCATCTGGAGTTTGATTACTCAGTTACTACAGATTAACCCGTCCTTGCCCCATTAGCTGGGTCCTGACAAAGAAAAATGACGCAGAGGAATGGACAGACACCCACCCCTGTGTCACATTCTGATTCTCAGTAACATCACCACCGGCAACCCTCTGGCTACAAGTCTTGTTCCGCACCTTGTTGGCTTCTCTAGCTCCCTGCTGGAGTTCCGAGCCCAGCCCAGCTGGTTTATTTGGGGGCGTCGCTGTGCAGCAATCAAGAGACCACACAGTGTAAGCCTGAAGCCTAGGGCGTGGGTGGCATTCCTGTCCCCTCGCCGCCCCTAAGCCCGGGGCTCCAGGTTTGTCGGGACAAAAAGCATCCTTTTGCACCCGGAAACAGGGAGAGTGGACCATGTAGTCCCGGATTAAGAAAAGGGGAGATGCTGTTCGCTTGCGTGGATGTGCGTTTATCATTGTGCACGTTAGGGTAAAATGTGTACCCCTGTCTGATTAAAACGTGTCTGCTCCCTACAGCAGGAACAAGTGTGGTTGCTCTCCGTCTGAGCACGGTTTCTTTGGGCTAGTGCACCGTGTTGCCAGAGGCTGGTGAGGACCAGTGTTTTTCCAGCGAGCGCCGGCTCTCAGGGAGGGTCGGTGTAATAGAGAACGCACAGGTACGGGGATGGGGGTGAGTGGGGGGTTCAGGTAACCCGAGTGCTTGATGCGCGCACTTATGGGTGCGAAAGTCCGCAGGATGCCTCTGGGGCTGCTGCACTTGCCACCTTCGGGGGTGGGCGCTGGACCTCAGCTGAAGCTCTCAGTTTCAGCTCTCCCAAGCTTCTGTGAGGGAAGAGGGCGTGGGGAAGGAGAAGGAAAACCTGGGCACAGGTGGTCTTAGCTTGTGGGCACAGGCAGTTCCAGCCCCGTGGCTCGCCAAACACTGGTTTGGGGTAGAGGACGCTGAACGTACAGTCGCGGATTCCGAGGCACAGGGCGGGGTGGGGCTGGGGGCGTGCGGGGGGAGGAGGATGCAGAATCCTCTGTGCAGGCAGTGGCGGCTTAACCCTTTCCCAAGTCCCATATCCTGTGTCTACCAGTTTCAGACGAGTGAAGCAGAGAGGTTTGGAAGCAAAACAATCCTCTTTGAGGGCTCTGAGATCCAGGGCACCCATGTTGGGGTGGGGCCGGGGGTATCCCAGGAGCAGCCCAGGTGGTTCAAAGAGGTCAGTGTTTCAAGGACCCCCTCCCTCCCCTCTACACACAAACTCCATGGTTAGTTATGCTGAGGTCTCTTTAGAACCCAGAACTACTGCTCATGGGGATGACAAATGGAAGTACAGGAGGTGAGAAAAGCTCTAACCTTTCACTGTAGGTGACCAAACTCTCCCCATTCTGCCCCCACTTTCTGGAGGAATGCACTCTCTCTCAGGCCCGCAGCAATGACCTCAAAGCAAATGACAGTGGGAGTGGACAGTTCCCTCCCTCAAGCACCAGTGTGGGTTGAGGGAGCTATGACGCAATGGGAGCTCGGTCGGTTCTCTGATTGGCTGGTTCTGGCCACTTTGGATTGGCGGAGCGGGGTGGTGGGGACCCCCCTCCCAATTTCACTGGAATAAGAGCCTGGGATTCCCGGGGAAGGCGCCCGCAACAGGCATTGTGTTCTTCCTGGGTGGACCCGCAGCTTGCATTATCCTGAAACTCGCATCACCAGGTGAGGAACTTCCCATTCCGTTCACTGTTGTAAGTTTATATTTTGCTTCATTTGCTTGACTGGCTTTCATCTATTTCTATGGCCACTTCCAGATACCTAAAGCTGGGTGGTTTTAGCTCTTTTCATGACTAGAGCTATCCTGACATTTTCCTCCTAATTAGAGCAAGCAGAAACCCGGGCATCTCGGACTCTGCAGCTATACTGGAAGCGAGGCGAGTCTGAGCGCCTCCTTGGGGCGGATCTGCGCTAGAGTCCTATTCAAGTTTGGGCAGGTCTGTGTTCTCAGAATCATGTTGGTTTTCAGGACAGTAGAGTCCGGAGCTTTCCTCTGAGGCTATTCTAGCCCGCCAGCGTCCCAGGGACACGGGTCGGATCTGAAGCAGTGCCGTCAGCTGATCGGATCAAGTGGGCTCACTGCTAAGTGTGGGTGCCCAGCACCTGCTGCTGAGCTGTGCTGCTGAAGTTCTGAGACACCTGTAACTGGCATGTTAAAATTTCCCCACATCCTCAAACTAAGAGATTAGCACTCCTTTTCAATCCACTACACTCCCTTCCACGCACTGGAGCCAGCAATGAGAGAGTAAATCTACTGCAGGGTGGATCGCGCTTGGTTTTTGCACAGATCAGGGTAAAAGGGGTGTGTGTGTGTATGTGTCTGTTAACTTCTTCAAGTCCTACCACAGAACAGAAGCCACATATGCACACCCCTCATGCTTCTATTCCACCAAGCCATTCAGGACAATGTATCTGTTGGGATTCACAGCAGCATTCTGGCAAATACAGGAACAGAAGCACCAGGAAGCGAAGTAACCTGTCTGAGGTCACATGGCAGTTATGGCAGAGGCAGCACTAGAACTCAGGTCTATGGTCCTGATAACGTCATTCTCCCTTTACAGAGAGGCATCATGGGCTTCTGGAAATTCTCCACCTTCCTGGCTCTCAGCATCTTGGTCCTATGCCAGGTGGGCAGTCTCCAGGCTGCGCATTTCAGGTGAGACAGTCTGAAGCCAGAAGCCTACTCTTCCCCCACTGCTGCTGGGATCAGACAGCTTTGTAGCTCTGGAGTCACACTTGGGTCCTGGTGAAGCAGCGCCCCTAGGTTGATGCTGGCCTTGTGCCCTGTCTACTGGGAAACAGGGCAGTTTCATCTCCATGGTAGAGACTGGGACTAGGAAGCCTGACTGCTTATCCTAGAGAGAGGGAGCAGGCAGAGGCTCAGAGGCTGCAGTGGGTTTACTTCCCCTCTACAGGTCAGCACTGCAGAGCAGCCCAGACTTGGCCACCCTCAGTGAGGAGGAAGCCCACCTCCTGCTGACTGCACTGGTGCAGGACTATATGCAGCTGAAGGCCAGGGAGCTGGAGCAGGAGCAGGAACTGGAGGCAGAGGGCTCCAGGTAAGATTCCTCTCCCTGCCCTGACATATCCAGGAGGGCCTATCCCAGAAAGATAGGAGAGACACACTGGCCAGAAGGCCAGCAGACTGTGTGTGTTCACCAGGGGGCCCTCGCTGTTCTCAGCCCCCATGGAAGGCACAGGTCTTAATGCAGCTGGAAGGACTATGGTTACACATGTTAAAAGACCCATTTCTGAAACTTATTGGGAAGGGAAATGAGGAGGTGTGGAGTCATTTTCTCTGGGAATTGGTTTTTACAGTGCTGGGGAGATGTCCGAGCACAGGATGAATTAGGACTGGTAAGTGCAAAGCCAGAGGATAGACTCAGTATCTCAGGAGGTTTTAGAAATTTCACCTGTGTATGTCCTTTCACTCCCACAAGGAGCTTTAATTTTATAATTGCAAGGTGAAGGCAAAGGCCTTGTGTGGGGTGGGGACAGGTACAGCAGAGTCTGAGGTAGGTCTGAGACTCTTTGGAGATGTACGTGATGTCACAGGGCCAGAGAGGGGACTTTTCTCCAGCTCTGCTTCCCTGTGTGTCCTGAGCCCGGCCTTGCCCAATACTGCCTAGGCAGAGTCATGTTGACCTGCCTCCAACTAAGAACTCCTCTGTCAAGCATGATGGACTGAACAGCATGTGGAATGCCAGAAAAGCTCACCCTTCCCCACTGTTGCCCTTCCCACACTGTCCTGGCCCACTGCATCCCTGGTCCCCCACAATGGAGGACGTGTCAGCTGCCCTCCTGTCTGTGCTTCCTGCCACAGCTTCAAGTGCCCCTGCCTGATCTAACCTTCTGCTGACTGCACATGGGGACAGACTTTTTGCATGGTACTGTCAGGCATGTCTTTGCCCTGCAGCCTAGACAGCCCTAGATCAAAGCTGTGCAAGAATCTGAGTGCTGACATGTGCTTGCAGGGTCTGAACAACTTTCATACCTTCTATGGCATTGACTTCAGGCTTGAGACATATTGCAAAGGGATCACTGCCTTCACTTTGGGCCACAGAATGCCACCTGAGTTCCATCCACTTCTTCCTGGTTTCCTTTCTTGCTCCTATTTGAGAACATAATGCATGTGGTTTCCTCTCTAATTGCTCTCAAGCTGATATTGTTTAGGGCTGAAAATGTTGGGGACCCCAGGATAGAAAGGGAGAGAGCAGAGATCCTAGACTGCATTAGAGGTAAGAGACTGAGGGAAAGTTTGTGAGCCCCCAGAGGATTTCACAGCAGAGCTGTCCAATTCTTACTTCTAAAATAAGCACATCCCTCATGCCTCACCATTGACAAATAAATCTGTTTTTCTAAAAGGACCCGAATTGTAATGGCCATTGCTCTGGTTCAGGTTCAAGTCTTCTAAGTGTTCAGTGCCTATGCTTAGAAGTAGCCTCAGCTTCAGGGGAGTTAGTTAATAGGGGCTTGATGGGCAATCCCTGGGACTCAATGCAGAAGCAAGAACAGCGTGCTAATAAACAGGTAAGATGTTGCAAACCTTGTTCTCTGAGCGTCTTCTAGGTAAGACATTTTTGTGTGTGTGATGGTTTTTGGGCAGAGATTCTAGCAAAGGCTGCCAGGCCATTTCCCTTAACAGCTTTGATAATTGCACTTCAGAGAAACACTTTTTGTTAAGTGGTGTGTCGAGGCAATTCTCTTTATGAAGGTCCCATGGGGCAGGCTCTTTCCCAGTCCTCACTTGTCAGGCCTTCTCTTCTTTCTCCATTCTGCAAATCAGTGTCACTGCCCAGAAGAGAGCTTGTAACACTGCCACCTGTGTGACCCACCGACTGGCAGGCTTGCTGAGCAGATCCGGGGGTGTGGTGAAGGACAACTTCGTGCCAACCAATGTGGGCTCCGATGCCTTCGGCCGGCGCCGCAGGGACCTTCAGGCCTGAGCAGTTAATGGATCCAGGAAGAAGGTGACTGCCTTGTACTATAGGTTGGGAGAGGGAGAGTGTTGAAGGTTGAGATCCACATTTTCTAACCTTCCATTCTTCAGAGACCCTACCATTCTTTTTCCTGAAGTAATGAGTTCCTTGTAGTTCAGAGCTTGATGCTAGGACAGGATTCAGAGATGCAGTGTCATTTTTATGAGAAATGAAGAAAATGTTTGTTGAATCCAGAAAGGATGGTCCTGCATATCTTGTCAGAGTCCACTCCTCACTAATAAGCCTAGGTTCAGGAAAGGGTCTACCTTTGGTCAGTGTTTACAGACTCAGACCACAGAAGTGTAATCATATTACTCCCTACCTTTATTGTAACAGCTGAATTATTTTATCTTCATTTACCTTCCATCTCATATCCATAATTCATAAACGCTACTTAGTGGAACAAGTGTTCTTTTCAGTGACAATTGTGATTATTCACTTCTTGTTTTTCTCCTACTTCTTTTCTTCTTCTTCACCCGTCTCTATTTCCTCCTCTTACTTTTCTTTTTTAAATTTTATCTCCCATCTTAGGTTGCCTTGAAGCTGACCTCACCACTTCTATTAATTTCTGTTGATCACAGCTTGGTGAGAAGGCCCATGGAAGATACAAATGTGTGCATCCTAATAGATATTGAGAAAAAAAGCACCTTTGTCACTTGAAAGGAATGAAACTGAATGCAAAATAAGCTAATTCCATATTTGTTGTGCATCATTTTTATATTTGATTCTATGTCCAGTAAATGTGATGGCATTTCCCATGGCTTGCTGGTAGTAAACTGGTTCTTTGAGAGCCAGCCTTTTGATTATGGCAGCTCTGACGAACCTTAGGGGGATATGAAATCACTGCCTCTTGTAGCCTCTGGGGACACATGATAATGGCAATGCTGTGCCTTGATGCCTGAGAACCTGGTTGTACCATTTGTGAACTTCATCAAGATTAAAAACATATTTTGAATACATTTGTTTCAAGTTCCTGGTGGTGGTTCATTTCAGCTTGTTTTCCTGTGTAATAATAATAATGACAATAATAATATTTTTGAGTGCTTACTATGAGCCTGATGACATTCTAAGATCATGCTTTCTACCTGTGAATTCATTTAATCTTCATGACAAAGCCATAGGTCAGATATTATTGTTCCATTTCACATCTGAGGAAATAGAGGCAGAAATCCAAGGTTACATAGTGACAGACTCATGCTGGTTTTCAGAGCTTACCATTGAAAGTGCCATGCTTTAAGTTTTTCAGCATTTGCTCTTGAACTTTTCCAAAGACCTGGGAACCATTCTTTTCTATTTACCTGACATGGTAGACCCTCAGATTTTGGAGACATGAAAAATTTTGTACCCATTACTTGACTTCAATAGTGATCAATGACCAATATTGTTTCATCTACAGTCCAGTTCCAATGTTATATCAGTACATCCATAAATATTTCCCCCATGTATTACTAAATGATACAGTTAACTAAAATCTGATTCAACAACTAAAATAAATTGATTTGTAATAATTTCTTAATTGTTTAAAATCATAAATCCAGTCATGGTCCAAATTCACCAATCACACACACACACACACACACACACACACACACACAATTTGGACTCTTATTTGATCTTCATGTTGCAACTGGTTAATATCTTAAGGCTCAATTAATCCAAAGGTTTCTCCTCCATTATCTCTTCCTCTTGCAATTTATTGATTGGTAAGATTAGGTTATACTTACAATAGTTTCCACATTCTGGATTCTGATTACCACCTTGCTGTGGTGAAGTTTAACGTGTATTTCCTGTGAATTGGCACTCAAAACTAGGGAGAATGATGGGGAAGAGAAGTAGGAGTTAACTCAGAGATGAAATATGGAGGACAGATCTGTAGGAGGAAGGCATAGGAAAGACCTCGGCTTTCAATCAGTCAGTCAAACTCTAGTCAGGAAAAAAAATGCATCAGTAATTTCAACAGAAAGTATTTAATATAGGGATAAGGCAAAATAAGTATTAGAGTACAAGAAAGCAGAAGAGAACAAGAGGTGGTACAGAGGCAGAAACTGTACAAAGCAGCTGCCATCCACAGGCTAGGGGAACAAAGGGAAATGCTGGACTAGTTAGAACTGAGAAACTTGGAGAAGGATTCCACATCACTGAGAATGGAAGTTGGAGACACTAGTATCTCTGAAGTGGTGAAGCAAGCTGTTCTAGGAGTAGGGAGAAACCAAATCAAACAAGAAATTGGAAACACCTTCATTGCCAGAGTAAAGCATCTCTATGGGTGATACTGACAGAAACAGAAATCAACACTGGAAGGAGCCGGTTCCTTCTTGTCTCCTTTTGCTTAGAGCCTGAAGAGAGTTCAGCTGGCAAAGAAGAACATGGATTGCAGAGTCCTAGACCCATGATCTCGTTTTAAATTTACATATTGAAAAAGTCATTGTTTTTAGTGTAGAGTTCTATGAATTTTGACAAATCTGTTGAGTCATGTACTTACCACCACAATAAGGATGTAAGGCAATTCTACCTCCACCTCAGGTCCCCCGCTTCGCTTCCCCTTTGCAGCCAGTTGCTCTTTCAACGCTCTGCTAACAACCATTCAGTTATCTGTCCCTGTGCTTTTGACTTCTCCAGATGTCATGCAAATGGAATTAGCTTGTAGTTTCAAGTCTGGCTTCTTTTCCTTAGTATCATGCAGTTGATTTATCTGTTGATAATTATTCGTATTGTTCCATGTATCAATAGTCTGTTTTTATGTATTGCTAAGTAGTTTTACATTGTAGGGATGCACCACAGTTGGTTTATCCATTTACCCACTGAAGGACACTTGGGTCATTTCCTGTTTTTGACATTTATTAGTAGAGGTACTATAAACGTTCATGGATAGATTTTTGTGTGAAGATAAATGAGGCTCTTGGCTGGTGTAGTTAATTTCATGATCTTAAAATGAGAGCATCTTGGGTGTCCAGGTAGGTTATAAATCCTGTGATGTGTATTTATGAGATACACAAAGAAGACACATGAAGAAGACAAGGTGACATGAAGACAGAGGCAGAGAGACTCAAGCCAAGGAAACCAAGGAGGCCAGCTACTACTAGAAGGCAGAAGAAGCACAGATTGGTTCTCTCCTAAGAGTCACTGGAAGGAGCATAGCTTTGCAACACCTAGATTTTGGACTTTGGGCTCCAGAATGTAAAGCGAATAAACTTCTGTTGATGTAAGTCACCAAGTTTTTGATAATTTGTTATGGCAGTCCTGGATGAGACTCATACAATAAATTTTCATCTCTTTGATTAAATTCCTCAGAGTGTGATTGCTAGATCATTTGGCAAGTATATATTTAACTTTATAAGAAATCCCAAACTCTCCCAAAGTGCCCATAGATGGCTTTTCCACCAGCCATCTATGAAAATTGTTATTTCCAGAAATAGGTATGTAGTAATATCTTCTCCTGGACTCATTTCCATTTGCTTATCACTTTTGTTGAAGTATCTTTTCAAACATTTGCTAAATTTTTAGTGAGGTGTTTGCTTTATTTTGTTCTTTACATGTTGTAAATGCAATGTTATTATTAGATATGTAATTTGCAATTTTTCTTTCCAATTTTTGAATTTTTTTATTGTCTTAGCAGCATCTTTCATAGAAGAAAAGTTTTAAATTTTGTTGAAGCTCAATTTATCAGTTTTTCTCTTTCATGAATTGTGTTTTAGGTTCATATCTAAGAACTCTTTGCCTAACCCAAGGTCATGATGACATTATATTTTCTCATATAAGTTTTATAATTTTATGTTTTACATTTGATCCACTTGAGTTAATTTTTATTTGAGGTGGGAGGTACAGGAGAGATTAATTTCTTTTCCTGTAGATGCCAGATTGTTCCAATACCATTCACTAAAATCAATGAATATTTTACCATTTGTCTGTGCACTTTGTCAAAAAACAGTTGATCATTGTTATGAAGGCATATTTCTGAACTCGCAATTCTATTTCTTTGATAATGTGGCCATTCTTTTGCTGGTGCCACAGTCTTGATTCTTGTAGTGTTAAAGTAAGTCTGAAATTCAGGACATGTCAATGCTTTCCCAAAATGATTTTTTGGCTATTTTAGCTTCTTCCTGTTTTCTTTTCTACATTTTAAGAATCAGCTTTTCAATATCTACAAAATCTCTGATGGGATTTTGGTTGAGATCATGTTGAACTGAAAGATAGATTTAGGGAGAATTAGCATATTAGCAATAGAAGTTATATAATTCATGAACATAGTATATTTCCATTCCTCCTTGCTTTCTTTCTTTGGTCATTTGCTCTTGAGGGCAGTCAATGGACTCACGAGGACACTCAAGCAGCTCTAGGAGAAGTCGACATAGCAAGGAGCCAAGGCCTACTGACAATGACCATATGCATGAGACAGGTTGCCACTAAATCCTCTAGACCAGGTGAAGCCTTCGGATGACTACAGACTCATGAGAGACCCTGAGCAAGAACCACCTAGCTACGCCATTTCCAAACTCATGACCTGTAGAAACCACCAAAAAACTGTTTGTTGCTTTAAATCACTAAGTTTGAAGGTAGCTTGTTATGCAGTAATAAATAAGACAGTCTGTAGACATTAAATGTGATGTTAGGTATACTTTTGTGTGTGTGTGTGTGTGTGTGTGTGTGTGTTGTATTGGGGTTTGAATTCTACTGCATGAGCTACACCCCCAACCCTTTTTTTGCTTTAGGTTTGTTTGCGGGGGACTAAGACCCTTCCGTCTCCATCATCATTAGGAATGAATATTGAGGTTTGTTAAGTGTTTTTCTTGCTTCTACATAAAATGATAATTTTTTCTTTAGTCTGTTAATATGGTGAATTGCTTTAATTGATTTTCAAATATTGAAACAGCCTTGCACTTCCAGGATAAACCCCATTTGTTTCCAATGTATTATCCTTTATATATAGCTATAGAACTTATAGAATTATTTAATAACCCATGTTAAATAAATATAAATTCTATATTTGCATTAGG